GGGAATGAGGGAGCAGATACAGCTGGGATACAGTAAATAAAATGTAACTAATAATAAAAATAAATAAATTTAAAAACCTAAAAAAAAAAAAAAAAAAAGGCCAGGGCTAGATGGTTTCAGTGCATAATGCTACCAGACCATCAAAGAAGAGCTAATACCAATAATCTTCAAATTATGCCACAAAATAAAAACAGAAGGAACATTGTCAAATTTGTGTTATGAAGCCACAGTCACCCTGATACCTAAACCACACAAAGACTCAACAAAGAAAATTTCAGACCATACTCTCTCATGAACATTGATGCAAAAATATTCAATAAAATACTTACCAACTGAATCAGATGTAGCCAATAGGCAGCTCCATGTGGGTTCCCTAGTAAGGGATGAAGGGGCTGTCTCTGACATGGACTCTGTTGTCTGCTCCTTGATCATGTCTCCCTGGTGGGGCAGCCTTGCCAGGCTACAGAGGAAGAGGATTCAGCCAGTCCTGCTGAGACTTGATAGGCTGGGTTGGTAGGGGAGTAGGGCCTCCCCTTTCTGAGGTTTAGGGGAGATGGGTAAGGGTGAAGAGGGAGGGAGAGTGAGACAGGGATGAGATGAGGGAGGTGGCTAGGATGGGGATGTAAAGCGAATAAATTAAAAAAGAACCACGTTTTACCATGTTCCTTTGCACTGAAAGATGCTTTATCACTTTGAGTCCAGTGTTCCTACTTCTTTGTTGCCCATTTTTCTTTTCTTTGTTTTGTTTTTTTTTTTTAAAAAAAAAAAAAAAAGGATGCTCTTATTTCAACCTACAGGGGTAATGGCCTTAGGGAGAATAGCAAATTGTATAAGAAAAGTATAAAATTAAGGATTCAAGTCTGGATCTGGCCACTTTTAGAGTTGAGATTGTTTAACTGATGCAGGAGATAAATTTTGCAGCCCCCCCTTTTTTTGCAGTGTACTCCTGGAACATAAAATGTCAGATCAGGTTCCAAAAGCACAGTATTTAGTTCTGTGACACAGATCCTTGAATTTGGTAAGACACACATCCTTGAAGTTAGTAAGGAAGTTAATTCCTCTTCAGAAAAGTGTTTCACTAAATTAAGCAGAATCTTAAAAATGGCTTTTGAAAAACATTTCAATATATCCTTTTTATCGTTTTTTATTTTATTTTTTAAATATTAGTTACAGTTTATTAATTTTGTATCTCAGCTGTAGCCCACTCCCTCATTCCCTCCCAATCCCACCCTCCCTCCCTCATATCCTCCCTGCCCCTTTCTAAGTCCACAGATAGGGGAGGTCTCCTCCCCTTCCATCTGACCCTAGCTTATCAGGTATCTTCAGGACTGGCTGCAATGTCCACCCCTGTGGCCTAGCAAGGCTGCTCCTCCCTGGGGGGGGGGGGGGTAGGTCAAGAGCCAGCCATTGAGTTCATGTCAGTCAATATATCCTTTTTACATTTGTTAATTTATGTAGTCATTCATTCATTCGTTCATTTATTTAGATGTGTGTGTGTGTGTGTGTGTGTGTGTGTGTGTGTGACAGTGTACCCATAAAGGCCGGAGGACAGCTTATTTTAGTCAGTTTTCTCCTTCCACCATGTGGGGAACTCACATGGTCATCAGTCTTGGCAACAGGCACCTTTAATGACTGATCCATCTCACTGGACCTTGAAAACCTCTCTAATGTATTTGCTTTATAAAGGGAAATCTTAAAGCAGATGTTGGAGGCGGTATACCACAATCAAGCACACAGCCCCTGGAGACAGATGGCCAGGCTTAGAATCCTGGCTCTTCTATTAATTAACTCAGGCTTTAGGAAATGTATTTAACATCCTAGAACATCAGTTTCCTCATTTACAAAATGAGAGCAGGATTAACATGTGTCTCACAGTGCAGTTACCAGGACTGAGTTAATCCAAATGAATCTGGAATAATACTTAGTGCATAATAAGTGCTCTGTAAATGTTAGTTTGACATAATTTTCTCTATTATCCAATTAAAAGGTCTCACAGAATCCTATACTTATGTATTTATTAATTGAGAATTTCATACATACTTGAGTAACAGAATAAGAAGAAACGGCTACTGACCTGGAAGCTATACCTCCACTGTCTAGATTTCATGGGTGATATGCACAGTACTGGAGGAGAAAAGCAACAATCAATCTTACCCAGTTGTGAACCCTGCAAACTACAACAATAACTGGTCTGGCAAGATGTGCTCACTGGAGCAATAATGGCATATATGTCATTGGAGTGACTAAACACTTTCTGACTGGATTTAAAGCCCGCTCCACAACATGAAATCTATGCCATTATCAAGCCAAGAACCTATAGATAGATAGATCATAGGCCTTAAGAGAAAACCTTCAACTATTATTCTGCTAAATAGACCAAATTCTATTGCTTTTTCTATCCCACCGTACTAGCACTGAAAGAAGTCTGTTTTTAATTGGATGAGTATAAACAATAAAGAGCAATGTCCTATGCTTGGAGTTATACAACAACTGTGCCCCTAACAATAAGTTACAGTGAAGGATATTGCCCTGCATGTTCTTATTTCCTGTAAGGGTTTCCTCAAGACTTTTGCACATTACCCAAACCATAGTATTTGAATACATGAATGAAATCAGACACTTCATATTTTTTCCTTGGAAGATGTAACATCAGTAAAATGCCAACTCTTCTCTAACTCATCTTCAGATTCAAACCATTTCCAACTATGTAGGTGGGATAAAGGCCCTGCAAAAGATGTCCCCATCCTCATCCTTGGAACTGGTGACTATATCACATGACATGGCAAGAGGAGGTTAACACTGCAGATAGAACTAAGATTGCTGAGAGAGCTTTCAAATAGTGAGACCCTGAATTATTTGTGTAAGCCCAGTGTAACCACGAGGCCTTAATAGTGAGAAGGAGGAAAAGGAATCTTGTCAGAGTGATTCAGTGTTGGGAAGAAGACAGGACATTGCTCCTGGAACACAGAAAAAGACTATGAGCAGTGAAATGGATAGCCTTGACTAACAAGGAGAAGTGAGATTGGCGGATTCTTTCTAGAGACTACCAAAAGGCCTAAAGGCCAAGCTAACACCTTTACTTTACCTTGGTGACCCTTGTTTTGGACATAATATTCTATCAATATGTAAGAGTAAATTCATTGCCTTAAAAACAAAGAATGAACTAAGGTACCAGATTGACTATGAACCCAAAATTGATAGCTGACTTGGTTCATAGCCAGTCATGAGGTGTGACTTTTTCTTACCAATGCTGAAATAGATATAGATGCTGTAAGTGTTTGATTGCACTTTAAACCTCTGCATCCTTCCAGAAAGGACTTAAGGCAACTTACAAGGATACATACAACCCAAAATGAAAAATGATTAGATTAGATATAAGAAGGAAATAAGAGAGAGTATGGGTATAGTAAACAAAAATAGGGAATACCGCATGTCCTAGAAACCCCATGAATGGATCACATTTTGACCATAAATATTGGTGAGCTGACATTGAAGAAATGGAAAACAGTGAACTACGTAACCCGCAAAAGCCACTGGAGCAAAAGGATAGTTTCCCCAAAGATTTAGCCAATCATAGTTGTGAGACTTCTAGAACATATACTCTAAAAGGTCGCACGTAACAAATACTAGATCCAGACAGCATCACTGGAGGGTAATAGCGTCCCCGGTGCAGGCCATGAGTCTTGTTGAGAAGTCATGCCGGTACACCTGAGTACAGGGCAATACAGGCAAAATTCACCATATTCCAAGGGAGAAAAGCATGCAGAGTACTCTGCTCGGAAGACTGTTGGTGTTTCCCATTTTCTAGTGTTCTTTATTTTAGATAAGAAAACAAGGTGTGCTTAAGTAATCACGCTTTGATACAGCAGGGCTAAGATTTGTCCTGTTACGGTCAAAGTGTCTAGGGTTAAGACTCCCATCTGCCACAGACACCCTCCCAAAGAGGATGTAAGAAATATCCCCTATTAGAAGTTCAGAGACATGTCTCTGTCTTCATTTTGTTAATTTTTGAAATTACATTTATTTATTTGTGTGTATGCATGTGTACACTTTTTATATGTTACACCTCAGTTGCCTTGGACCTCAGTTTCCTCATCTTTAAAATGGTATAAAGATACAGTATAGCCAAGCCAGGTGTGGGAGCACATGCCTTTACTCCCAGCACTCAGGGAGGCAGAGGCAGGCAGACAGATCTCTGTGAGTTCCAGGCCAGCCTGGTCTACAAAGTGAGTCCAGGACAGCAAAGAAAGACTCTGTCTCAAAACAAAAATACAGTATAAATGATTGCTGTAAACAAAATTCTAAGCCTATAGTAATAAAAAATATAACAACTAGATCTGCCCTCTACTTAATTCAGTTCCTGCCATAAAATAGATAGTAATGAAAGTAACTATATTTGTTAAATTAACAAATAGGTAAGTGAATAAATATTACCACTCAAGAGAGTTTGTCAATGAGCAAATGTCTCTAGATGTTTAAAATCATCACACCACAGCAACTAAGAACTTGGGGGTGAGTAGTTAAAATGCCATCAACACATGCAGAATCTCAGAGAAGCTCCAACCATTTTCTGACTTATCTTACTGTATGCAAATAAGAATGCTTATAAAGTCCTTGGGTCTTTCCTCAGATAGAGCAGGTTTTCAGTAAATAACAATGTTGATGAGTGTGGTGGCTCATGCCATTAATCCCAGCACTGGGGGGCAGATGTAGGAGGATCCCTGAATTTGAGGACAGCCTTCTCTGTATAAGCCCTTTGTAGTTCTGGACAGCCAGAACTACAAAGAGAGATCCTGTCTCAAAAAACAAAAACTAAATAACAATATAATTCTTTATCTCATATAAGCATAAATACACAATCACCAACCTTTATTTTTTTAACAGTTCCTCTTGCTATGAATCTTACAATTTTCCAAAAACACAAATAGCATTTGCATAAATTAATAGATTTCTTTCTGGAACTCACATCTGTTTTATTTTCCCATTTTCTCTCTGCATAGGATTTTATCGTCACTGTAGTCTTTTCATTCTTGTGGTTGGTGGGGTCCTCTGCCTGGGCAAAAGGACTGTCTGATGTCAAAGTGGCAACAGATCCCAAGGAAGTCTTGTTACTGATGTCAGCTTGCAAGCAGCCCTCCAACAAATGCATGGCTGTCCACAGCCCTGTCATGTCCAGCTTAAACACATCTGTGGTAAGTATTTGTTCATCCAGGCTTGACTTCTCAAGTCTTTATTTGCCGGTCAGTGATTAAGTGAAACACCCCAAAGCCAGCAACTACGGACATTCCTGCCTCCAAAACTAGGTCAATCAAAACAAGGAAGTCTCACTGAAAGGGCAAGATGATATTTCAGCCTTCAAAATATTCGTTGTCAAAACCCACACACTGTAATGTTGCTGATTATAGAGTTTTTAATAAAAACCCAGCAGGTATTAGCAGCTGTAGCTTAGATGACAGTCAAGGGAAAATTCTAAGCTGGAGCTGATATAAAACCTAAATGTTAAGGCTGGAGCCTGCTAGAAGCTAAAAAGAGTATTTGTTAACTCAGATGTTTCCTAGAAGAAAAAGAGTTTATTAAAGCCACACATGGAACATACCAAATTGTTTGGAGAAAAATATGCAGGAGGAAATGCACAGCTTGAAAAAGTGCTTAGCATAATTGTGTATCTTCTTCCCTGCTCCAGTTTAGCTTAGAAGAGATGCACTAAAGTAGTTGAACAATCAAATATTGTCATCAAGAGCCTGGGCCTTACAGGAAATGAGGAATACTAACAGTTGGAGAGAGACGAAATTGTATTCCTAACTTGTAAGTGTAAGCAACTGTGCTTGCCCACGGAAGGGAGCTGTGTCTGATAAAGATGAGCCACAATGTCGGCCAAGAGAAGCATTTACTGAGCAGCGGGAGGCTCAGCTGTGCCGCTCTGCAGCAAAAGTCAAGAATAATTACCTTGGCTGCAATGTTAACCCGTGTCCCTGCAGCTTTCTGAAATTCAATCAGGGAAGGCAGTTACACAGAGGGCAAGGGTTACTCCACTGCTCCTGATTTTTCCATAAATCTTGCCTTAGTGAAATAGTAACCATGGAAATTACCTATGCACTGGATCTCACATTCTTAGACATTGCTGGCCACATTGTGAATGGCAGCTTTGAAGTATGCATTAATATACATAGTGATGTTTCTTTAACTTGTTTGTAGTCAGTGTTGAAGAAATAAGTGTGACTCTGCTTTCAAAATTCAAGAGAACAAATATAAAATTGCTTGACATGTATAACAATCAAGCAAAAATGCTGTTCATCAACTGGTAGCTTGATAGCCCATCTCCTAGCAAGTATGACATTCCACATGGCCTGTCAGTTCCTCTCATGTTCTAATAAGCTCTAGACTGGAAAGCAGGACTTAGCAATGACAAATATGTTCTCCTGAACCTAACAAGAATGTGAGCGTGTGAAAGGAGAGGCCTGTGGGGTTGTCACTATGTCCTTGATAGTCAAGGCTCTGGCAGTGCTGGCAGAACAGCTCAGACAGACTGACTAAAGCTAAAGCTTAAAGTGTCTTTAGACCCCTGTCTGGGACTAATGTCGGTACTCATTGAACTATCTAGACTGTGAACAGAAACTGGCTCCAAATTCATCTTGAAAGTGATAGATTTTGGAAAGATAATGTGAACCTGCTGTGGCCTGAAGAGCTGAGAATGAAAGAACCTGAAGCAGATCTTCAACTCCTGACACCAGACAACCAAAATATTCCCTCTTTGAGTCACTGAGTAGTAGTAATTTTTACTTTTACTCCCATTTTTCTCCTCCAGTGGAAATGTTCCAGGGCAGACCTCAAACTAGTAAACTAAAACTTCACAGTGCAAGGAAAAGAACTTGTGTATTACTATCCCAGGGGAAAGGATATTAATCAGTCAACACAGGTTTTTTAATTACAAATGTGACTGCCTTGAAGTCACATTGAGCTAGCTCAAGCAAAACCCAAAGATAATGAGAAAAACTAGAAGTGTCCCCCTAGAGTAGAATCTAGGACTTCAAGCTGGAAAGCAGTCAAGAAAATGGGCCTTTCATGTTCTTCACTGCTCACCCTGTGTGTGCTATGTCTGTTATGTTCCCTCCTTTTCCAAATAAAGTTTTAATGTTTTCCTTGTGATATGGGAGAAGGTAATTACCTGCCATTTCTAAGTGTCTATTTCCTTTGAGAGAAACTGCTTTGGCCAATGCGATGGCTCAGTGGGTGCAGGTGCTCACTGCCCATTTTGATTAACTGATCCCCAGAACTCACAAAAAAGGAGTGGAGAACAGAGAGACAAAATTGTCCTCTGACTCACACATGTATACCACACACACACACACACACACACACACACACACACACACACATGCCCACACACGCACACGCACATGCACATTCACACACATATGGGGTAGGGGAAGAGAGAGAAAAAACACACATATATTTTAAAAAGGAAACCACTTGGACTGAACTTCCCTCACTTAAGTCCACTTACAAATGTCTGGCTGAGAGCGGCGCATCCTTCTAAGGTCAAGTGGTCACCTCACTCATCACTTGTAGCTACAGGCTGTGGGAATTTGAAGCATGGCTCACTGACATCACCCTGCTGGGCAAGGGCTAGTTCTGAAGAAGGAAGCATACACGCACTATGATCTGTGGTGTATACAAGAACACAAGGTCAAGAAATGATTTTTTTTTTTTACTGTGCTGGCAAAATTATTTTCGTTGGCATTTGTAACTTTACAGTAGCCCCAAAGTACAGGTAAAGTGTCTGGCCATTACAGACGCAGGGAGATGATGTTAATGATTCTGAAAAAGGGTTCTGGATTTAACTACTGTAATGGTAGAGCTGAATCCAAACTCTCCTAATACTGTTTCTACACAAAATTGCTAAAGGCACAGTTTTTATTGGAGCAGTCTTCAGGGATGGGTCCTGGCTCCAGTAGGCAACAGTTGAGTGCCTTTATGAACAATAAATCTGCCCTCTAAAACCCCTATGCCACCAGCTGAAAACTGGAGACAGGTATACAGCAGTCCTCAAGACTGCTGACAGAAGTTAATCCATGGGGAAAAAAAACACTTAGGATTCTGCCCAGTCTGTGGAAATGCTGAAAACATGTAGAACTGGGTGTCCATTTCTTCTATACCGTTAAAGGAACAGTAGGAGGAAGAAAATGTAACATCTCAGGTTTTATCCAGTCTTCATTAAATGGAACTACATTTTGTCCATGATTTCTGCTTCTGTTTTTCCAGCTTTACTGCATGTAACTTCATCATCATCTTTATGGATATCCACATTTTATGTCTCAATTCTTTCTCATGCTGTGTACAGGCTTATGGCTTCTTTGTGATATCCCCACATCACAAAGAATATCTCCCAATTTCAAAAGGAACAAACAGCAGGACTCAAAGGCTCATGTGTCCCTAAATATCCCAGCCAGTGGGGGTTCTGGTACCTCCATGACAATGATAGGGAAACTGTTCCTTACACACCCCAAAGGGATGCTCTGTAGTCTCAAGTTGGGCCTCTTTTTAAAACTGAGTAGCAGCAATGAAATGGGTAGTAATCAAAACAAGCAAACACATAAAACCACATCTCTAGGCAGAACCATCCCTTCATCTCAGAAGAGATCATTTCATAATTTTTGATACATATATTGGTATATACTTACAATGGTAGAATGAAATCAAGATCTCTTTTTCTAATGGAAAATCTCTTAGTTACTGTACACATGATAAAAATGCTGTGTGTGTAAAAATTTTGTTGGTGGTAAACTTATCCATTTTGATTAGGCAACTAGTACACATTATTTACTTATATTTTATATCTTCCTTGGCAAGCAGCCTAAGGCTCTACATTAATGTTAAAGGAAAAACAACTTGCAGTGGAAAACAAAGGAGGGAAAAGAGAGGGAAGTAGAGAGAAAAGGGGTTTTGCTGTATCAGTCCTTAATTTGGTCAATTGGAAGCTTACTTTGTTGTCATTTCTCAAAAATACGTCCTCATAACCAAAGACGACTTCCATTTATGTGATGGTGACAGTCAACTGAGTGCCATGCACCGACCACTATAGGACCTGATCCGAAGCACTTTTACCACTTATTGCTTGCTAATGTGTCCGCCATTATGCACGTCCACTGGAGCACTCTCGCCTATCCCCCAAAAGGGATAGTACTGTCATTTCACTGCCATTCAGCTTGCTGTCAGGTGGTGCTGTGAAATACTTGCTGTTAAAACACTGAAAAACTGTAGTAATAGCCTTGATCCAAGCCCTTGCATCCCTGTATATTTAAGACACCAGCATCACACACACACACACACACACACACACACACACACACACGCACACACACACACCACCCTAGCAAATCAAGAAGCCATTCTAACTGGACAATGTCACGCTAGAGTGGTAACCAAACACTCAAATGTTGTCACCAATATCATCCTGTTTTTGCCCTTTTCCAATAGGGCTGTTAAAATAGATTGACTCTTACCTAGTCAACCAACGAACAGTTGATATATCGGGGAACTGTTACCTAAGCCCTACCAAAACCAGCACATTTCATGAGGGAAAAAAAAGAATTTCCATAAGAAAGCCTCACACCTATTTATTTATTTATTTTTATTCTCTTCTGTATCCTGCATTCCATTTATAACACAGTTTTAGCATTTACTTCCGAAGGAGAGAGGCAGAGGTCCAGCCGTTTAGAGACTCTCCTTCCAGGTGTGCAAATATGCATGTGTTCATCTAGCACCTGAACCATTGCTTGTTCAGTGCTTGTGTGAACCACCTTATTTGGACGAGGAGTATCTCTAGCCCTAAAGAGATGGGGACCTTCTCAATTAGTGTACCACTATTAAACTGAAAATACTCAATTATACATGACTTGACTATTACCTTATACAAATTAAGAATGGATAATTTGTGAAGATAGGGATGGCTTTGGTGAGGGCTCAGACACTGGAGCAGACAGAATAGAGTTGAATCCCAGATCTAGTCCTCACTTTGAGCCAGATTATTTTTCTTGCTGAACTTTGTTTCCTGGTTTTTAATATATACATATTATATAGTAATGCTGATCTCTTAGACTAAAAGAATCAATATATAAAAACCCTTCATGTAGTGCCTGGTATATAAAAGTGTTCAGGAATTCCTAGTCAAATAGTGGTTCCAGGTGAAAAGTTTCAACAAATTCAAAATGAAAGTGAAGGTTCACCTATGGTACTTCGAAGACGCTGTGAGCAGCTTGTCTAGAGTTTCTGTCCAGTCATTTAACCTCTTGCTCTGATCCTCCTTCAGGTCTTTGGGTTTTTGAACTTTATCCTCTGGGCTGGAAACATCTGGTTTGTTTTCAAGGAGACCGGCTGGCATTCCTCGGGACAGAGGTACCTTTCAGACCCCATGGAGAAGCACTCCAGCAGCTATAATCAAGGCGGGTACAATCAGGACAGCTATGGGTCAAGTGCTGGGCACAGCCAGCAGGCAAGTCTGGGGCCATCTTCTGACGAGTTTGGCCAACAGCCTGGTGGTCCCACTTCCTTTAACAATCAGATATAACCGAGTGTCAGCCAAATTATTCTGCCGATAGCCTCACCACCTTCCATTTCAGTAGCAGAAGAATTTTTTAAGAGTTTCGATCAATTATTAATGCAGAGAATGTTGAATGCAAATCAGAGACCTGTAGTCCTCATTAAGGCAGAAAGACCCGCGTGGTGATAAATGGTACTTAGAAATGAGATGTCAGGAGGAAATATATTATTCATCACAGATGGTAATTAGAAGTACCTTGTTAAATACACAAATACTTTTATGGTCATTTTGTATGTGCGTTGAAATAGTAAAAGCATTTTGTAGCTTAAATTCTCTAGTATGTAATGTGTACAAAGTAACTTAAATATATTGAGTTTTCCTATCCGTTTTGATGCAACAGATGTTTTAATGGTTTCTAGAAGACTATTTGATGAATCACAGCATGCATGTGTTACTATTTTTTAGTTTAGGTCCTTTAGGACTGTAAATCTGTTTTAGATAATTATTCTGTACTGTTTTCACCTGATGAAACAATGTTTATATGATTTAATGCATGAACAAGCATTTTTTCATACAATAAACATTTGACTGTGTTTCTGGAGATTTTTCAGTTTGCATCATGACTTTGTCAAGCAAGTGTTTAAGGACATGTATGTACTACTTTGTAGATTTTGCAAGTTTGACTCTCTGACTTTACCCACGTTCTGACTGCATTTTAACTGAGGTCTGGGAGGTTTCCCAATGTACATAGTCAGTGTTCTATATGGTAACTGCCCAATATTTATTTGATTTGCTTGAGTAAATATTCACATTCTTGTAACTTTTTATTGTGTTTTGTGGCCCTTATCTTGTGAGCCACAAGTAATAAGGCCAATGACCCTGTGCTTGTAGGGTGGCATTTTCTTAGCATCAAGAGAGGCAGGTACCATAGTTTAAATAATACTAAGAAATGTGCTCTGTTGTCCTTTGTGGTGAGGCAAACATTTAATTTTGTTTATTTTTGAAGCAAATATGTTGTTCAATCCAATTATTAGAAATGTCAAGTTATAGCTTAACAGAATTTACTGATGTGCATTTGTGTATGCATAAATTAAGGATGGCTCCCCTATGCCGTTTTATCCCAAAGAGGGTTCTCATGAACGGTTGTCCAGAACATATTCATTATCAAGAAAATGCCAATCCTCATTTCAGCATCTTAACTCAGTTGAAACCACAAGGCCCAACAGGAAGGGCACGCTGAGCATCTGTGTTTCTAGATAAAGTTGATGTACAAATTGTGTGCTCCGTGATGTTGGAAGCAGTTTAACACAAAATAGCCTGTCTTGAATACTATCTGTAACAAGTTTCTGAAATCCTGTTGGATATGTCTGTATTGTGATACCTATTTGACCTCAATAAAGTTGTTGCATACACTATGGCTGAACAGTGAGGAATCATAACTATGGGTTCTCATTGGCTTTAAGAATAAGAGAAGGAAGGCAAGGCTTCTAACATTCTTGCCCCTGTCTCCTGCCCTCCCCACTTTCGCTTCCTGATCCTGGTGTTCTTTGCTTAGTTAACCTTTCACCTATTCTGACCTCCTTGGTCCATATCACTGCTCAGCTCAAGTCAAAGATGAAACAATGGCATGACAAAGCAGAAGCAGGTTCTATAACAAGAAGCATGTGTTTTATTAGGAGAGAACTGTGTTAAAATATTCACACCTGTGTTGCACTGTGTGCCGTGGAGGCACAGGCTTCCACAAAAGCATCTGTCTGAGCTAGTCAGGGAGAAAGGTAAAAAAGCTTGAGACTTGGGAACTACCACACTAAAGGAGGACAGGGCTGAAGGAAGCATGCCACCGCCGAGTAGAGCAGGCGAACTTTAGCTCTGATGGTAGGAGGTAGGAAGGTATTTAGAGATGCCATAGCACAAGCACTGAGGAGGCTTCACAGCAGGTGAGCATGCCTATGAGTGCAGGCGTAAGCACTACTTGAAGGCCGTAGTTAGAACTTCTATCTTCATCTAAAAGAAACTTAAGGAAGACACTAACAGATTTGGTGGGGGGCAGTGGGGGCCACTATGAGACTAGTATTTTGAATGGATCTCAGAAGCTGTAGTGAAGATAATGAGTTGCAAGAGAAGACAGAAAGCCTTCCTGGCACTGAGGACATAATGTTTAGCCCTCAATGCTAAGACCATCTGCTTCACAGCGTGTGGAACGTAGGGCTGACTCTCGTGGGCCCATGCCTCTTCTGCCTTGATTTTTAGGTTACTAGCTGAATTATACTGCTTCTTTCAACCCAGTGCAGTGGGTGGAAGTGGCTCTGCTTCATACACAGTCACAAGCTCTCCAAAGCTCATATCCCACAATGACAGACTATCTGTCACTGGTCCAAAGCTCTTTGCTGCTTCGATAAATAGAATTCCATGACTAAGATCCAGACATGCTTTCGCAGTCCTCTGCAGGGTCACATTAAAACAATGTCTTAATCAAACAGGGATTTCGCTAAACTAGCTAGTCCTTTGGGTTTCAAGGAGCAAGACAAAGATTTGGCCTTTACGGAGGAAGAAAAGTGAAGAATAATCAGAATAGTCAGTAGGCCTAGGACCGCCAACATTGAATGTGAATTCTCAGCTTCACTGCTCATTGATTGTTTCAAAATGTTAACAGATTTTCTCCCTTGGAGAGTTGAAGCACACAGGTAGGAAGGGGGCCCCGGTGAACAGACCTTCTAAGTTAGAATTCCCACCATGCCATTTTCCTGACTCCTCTTTCTTCCCTCAACCTCCCTGAATCCCTGTGACTTCTCCATACAGGTAGTCTAGGAGCACCTGCAGGCTGGGTGTGTAAGAATGCCAACACTCCAGGGACCACCTAGGAGGCCATCAGGCATCTTCCTGCAAATGCACCTGGGAAGACATTTAACTTCTCACTCTTTCAGTGGCCCCGTGTCTATCTTGAGGGGAGGAATACAAACTCAGACGATTGATACCAGGATGGAAGCAACTAGAGCAAATCCTGGCCCGCAGTGTGCGATGTCCAGATGTGGGAACTCTGAACCCAGAGCCTCCGACAAAAACAGCCTGCTTGATAGGGACTCTATCAAGGCATTGAGTGCCAGGGTGTGGAATGGGAGAATGAAACAAGGAAAGAGAGAAAGACAAACGTGCAACAATAATAAACATCCCTGGTGTTGCTGATGAAGGCAGGAGAATCTCAGTCCTATCACAATCTCAGAGCAGTACTGCTCTGGAATTTTCTATCAGGAAAGAAGTAGGAAGTGGGTCTGCGGTGTAGCTCTGGCAGTAACTGCTTGTATAAGGACCAGAGTTCAGTTCCCAGGATGCATATGAAAGTGGAGGCCTGGTGGTGCACTTTTAATCATAGCACTTGGGACTGGTGATCCCTTAGGCTCTGTAGCCAGTCAGCCTGGCCTAGTATGATGGTTGTCTCAAAAAGCAATGTGAAAAAAAAAAATCAAGCAAGCAAAATAATCCAAAGTATGCTGCTAATGAGCAATGATTCCTGTTGCTCTTCATCTTTGACATGTATGTATATGTTCATGCAAATGTGCAATGTTCCCCACACAAAATAATTTTTTTAATTGCAAAAGATATCCTGAAATAAAAAGTCAGAAATGAAGTTTTAATCTATCCACTTGCAACCTCCATTGGTGGTCTGCCTACTGACGGTGATGTTACAGGCCAGGGGCACATGTGTGTAAACATTAAACACTTCAGACCATGGGCCAGAGATAGGAGCCAGACATGAATCCTTCTATGATCCCTTCCAATTCCTGGTAGAGTGAACATAAAGAAGGAAAAAAGGAGAGTCTTGGAGATTCCTGAATGATGGGGGTCACGGTCAACATGAGCAGGAACTATCCTTCAATCTGTGGCTGAAATTACAGGGCTCACCATGGGAAAACAATATAAAAGTGTCACAGTGCCTGCTACGCTGGTCACCGCCATTATTGTTACTACTCAGTCTATGAAACAGGACTGCAAATGTTCCCCCGCATAGACTGAAGACAAGAAATGATCTGGTTGTTTGTGGAAAAAAACTAATGAACTGTATGATAACCAGTTCTTTGAGGTGATTGACTTTGCAAAGTTAAATTAAGCAATTGGAAGAAAATCTACTTCAAACTGATAAAACATTGAGATTTTTATAGACCAAACTCATTGTTCTGAGCTGAGAAAAGTTACTATTGCTGCAATCTTTAAGTTTATCTCAAGATCAGATGACTTAGACAACAGAAAATTAAACACATAAAATGTGCAAGAATAAATTTGATTGATGCTGATAAAAGAAATAAGGGGTAGGGAAAGGGAAATGGCAAGTCAGTGATGGCATCTCTGAGGAGATCATTTTAAGCTGAGACTTGAAGGAAGACTTAGGCTTGAGGAGAACATATCAGGGCAGAGGACAGTGTACCTGGGAGTCTGAGGGAGTGTGGGAAAATCACTCAATGCCTTTAAATTCAGAACAACTAGTCTAATGGTGCTAGGACATGCAAAGGGACAGGTAAAGATGTAAGCTGAAGAGGTGAGAAGAGAGAGATTATGGAAGGCCTCGGACATAAGAAGAGACTTTGGTCTAAGAGGGTTAGGAAGCATGGGGCTTACTGCAATGGGGAAAGGACCCAATTCAATTTCTCCTCTAGCTGTTTCCTGGCTATGACATCTTACTATGTATAATATCAACACTAAGAGAAGATGGGAGAATGGTGTGTGGGATTCTATATTATTTTTGAACTTCTTATAAGTGGGAATGCTGAGAGTAAGGTCATCCATTCATGAATTCGTTCACCAACTATGTGCTGAGCTCCTACCACATGCCAAACATGGCTGGGTGTATCTTCCTTTAGATTTCAGGTAGAGCTGATTTGAAGAAGACAGGCCGCGTCCCTGTACTTGTGAGTTGATAGCCTGGTGTTGTTCAAATGGGGCCTATACAAAAAAAAGAAATGAGATAAATTCAAATAATTAGAAAAGTGTCAGAGAAAGGTGGCAAAGTATGCATCCCCACTAGCTTCCAAATAATAATCTGAAGGCCAGAGCTAACGTGAAGACCCCATTAGCTTTTAGGTAACTTAGGTAGACATCTGTCTAGGGGACTTACATGCTGGCAGAAGAGCAAGTCATTTAGAGTATCTCGTGCTGTACAAAAGTCATGCATCCTTGATTTTATTCGCTCCTTTAAACAACCTGCAAATCAGACTTTTCTCTTGTGAAACTGAGTGTCTTAAATTGAACTCCCCCAGAAGGAGATTCTAAGTCAACAGTTCAAAGGCAAATAAAGGCTTAAGAATGAGAGGCAAAGAAGGAACACTGCTGGGGCCAAGGTTCATTCCATCAGAGAACAAAGTGGAAGACAATGCAGTAGCCCCACTGAGAGGGAACTGGAGCTATGGCTGCTTGGGAGGCATGACAAATTCCCTAGCACATTTGTGCCACCCCATGCCTCCACTGTGGTCAAAGGAGAAAACGCCACAGGACATCTCAGGTGCTAATAGCTGGAAGCCAGAATATCAGGGAACATGCAGTGGTCGGTTCTGAGAGGACCTAAATGGACCAATAGAGTGTCTGCCGCTGAGGTTCTGTCACATTAAACAGTTCAATCTACTAGAGGCGAGGAAAAAAAGACTTCAGTGTTACTCCCTTTGCTCTTGTCTCTAAAAGGTGATTTTTCTACTAAACTACCTAGTCTATTTAATGTTAATATTTGACTTCGGCTCCAATGTGAATTACGATTTTAATAACACCTGGAAGGTAGTAGCTAACATTATTGAGGATGCGCAGTGAGCTAATCACTTGGCTAAACGAGCATTTAACCACAACACGAGACTAAAAATGCTGGTGCTCTTTCTATATAGTTCAGAAAAAACAACCTTCAAAGCAATCAGGAAGTAGCAGCATCCTTGTGAGCACCTTCACTAACAAAAATAGTCTTTAATTACTACTATCCTCTGATGTCGTTCTGCACAGGAATGTTATTTAGCTCTCTGTACGTGCTATACTGGTTAATGCTCAGAAATGACACCAAACACAATACTGTTTCATACTGACCAAGCAAGTTAGAAAACTGTTCTTACTGAAGATTAGGTAGCCTATTAACAACCATAGAGATAAAAGTCTCCAAAACAACTTGAATCAAGTCACTGTTTGAGGCTTTCTAGACCCTACCTTTCCAAACATGGCTACCCATAGGGGAAAAGTCACAGACCCTCAAGTGTTCCTTTGGGCTTACTGTAAAGACGTTCATCTCCTAGAAGCTGGTGTTATACCCAGTTCGCGAGCCCCCAAAAGATCTACAGGAATCGACTCCATTGCAAAACACATGAGGGTCTTTTTATTGTAAATTACAAGCTGCAGCTTGGGCCTACACAGCCCCACCGCCAAAGCGGTGGGAGCTGAGCGCGCATGCCCAGGTTAGTTGGG